GCAGGTGATGTGGGAGGTTGTGGAGAAGTTGCAGATGCTTTTGCAGATGAGCCTCAGGTGTGCAGCTGAGATGGCGGCCTCTGCAGATATGCTGGAGATGCATACAGATGCGATTTCAGATCAGTGCCGTCCAGCATGGCAGGCACCAGACACACATGGTTATTTAGTGCTTGAAACATGGAGACTCCAAACTGAGATGTGCTGTGAGTGTAAAATACACACCAAATATTAAAGGCTTAGCATGATGAAAAGAACATAAGACATCTCAGTTTTAGATTACTTGTTGAAATAATATTTTGAGCACATCGATATTAATACAAATATTATTAAAATTATGTTCACCTGTTTTTAAATTTTGTTGTGTGTTGTTCGCCTCCCTGTGTCCATGTGTTCTCGTTGTTGTGTTTACAAAGCACTTCCTTTTTATTTATTTATTTATTTATTTTAATTTTAATTTTACTAAGATGGGGTGTCACCATGTTGGTCAGGCTGGTCTTGAACTCCTGACCTCAGGTGATCCACCCACCTTGGCCTCCAAAATACTTGGATTACAGGCATGAGCCACCACGCCCGGCCACAAAGCACTTTCTAGTTGGAAGTGATGGTGTTTACTGATGAGGGTGGATCACCTGAGGTCAGGAGTTTGAGACCAGCCTGACCGACGTGGAGAAACCCCATCTCTACTAAAAATACAAAATTAGCCGGGTATAGTGGTGCATGCCTGTAATCCCAGCTACTCGGGAGGCTGAGGCAGGAGAATTGCTTGAACCCAGGAGGTGGAGGTTGCCATGAGCCGAGATCGCGCCATTGCACTCCAGCCTGGGCAACAAGAACAAAACTCCATTTCAAAAAAAAACCAAACAAACCCAAAAACTACAACAACAAAGAAAGCAATCTGTCAGCCTTGGTCGCCTGGCTGTCTACTTTCCCTTTGTTTTTTTTTGAGACGGAGTCTCTCTGGAGTGCAGTGGTGCGATCTCGGCTCACTGTAGCTGTATCCTCCACCTCCCAGGTTCAAGCGATTCTCCTGCCTCAGCCTCATGAGTAGCTGGAATTATAGGTGAGTCCCACCACACCCAGATAATTTATGCATTTTTAGTAGAGATACTGTTTTGCCATGTTGACCAGGCTGGTCTCAAACTCCTGACCTAGCCATCCCCGTGCCTCAGCCTCCCAAAGTGCTGGGATTACAGGTGTGAGCCACTGTGCCTGGCCTGGACCCAATGTTTAAGTAGAGTTGCCCTAAGCTATGGCCTGGTCTACAGAGGTGAAATCTATGGAAGAGAATGGGAGTTTGGGGAAGGGGGCCAACCCCACCAGCACTGTCCTCAGCACCACGCTAACTGAGCTCCTTCCAGCAGTGACCAAGTCTGCACCAGGCCTGCCCTTTTACATCTCCCAGACCAGTGGGGGAAGATACCCATCCCTTCCCAGGGACAGCCCAGATGGTCAGGGTGAGGACAGAGGAAGTATAACCTGAGGAATCAGGGCTGAGATGGGGGAGCCACAGAAGGCTGACGGGACCCAGAGAAGGCAACGGGCACATGCTGAAGTGTCAGGAACGTGATCTTAGAGGAGAACTGAGGCGTTAAGGAAAAATGAGCCAAGTAAAGATAGTGAATGGGGCCAGACGCGGTGGCTCACGCCAGTAATCCCAGCACTTTGGGAGACCAAGGTGGGCGGATCACCTGAGGTCAGGCGTTTGAGGCCAGCCTGGCCAACATGGTGAAACCCCATCTCTACTAAAAATACAGAAATTAGCCGGGTGTGGTGGTGCACGTCTGTAGTCCCAGCTACTCAGGAGGCTGAGGTACTACAAGAATTGCTTGAACCCGGGAACTGGAGGTTGCAGTCAGCTGAGATTGTGCCACTGTACTCCAGCCTGGGCAACAGAGTGAGTCCCTGTCTCAAAAGAAAGAAAGGAAAGAAAGAAGGAGGGAGGGAGGGAGGGAGAGAGAGAGAGAGAGAGAGAGAGAGAGAGAGAGAGAGAGAGAGAGAGAGAGAAGAGAGAGAGAGGAAGAATAAGAATATGAAAGTGGAAAAATAGCATATGCAGAAGCCATGGGATGATCTGGTGACCCAGCCCCTTGCTACTCCAGGTTCAGTCCTTTGTGGAACTCAGCAGTAACAGCATTGCACGGCTGCCTATTGCTGCATAACAAACAGCCCCCAGACATTGTTTCAAAACAGTGACAGGGCTGGGTGTGGTGGCTCATGCCTGTAATCCCAGCACTTTGGGGGACCAAAGCAGGTAGATCACGAAGTCAGGAGATCGAGACCATCCTGGCTAACAGGGTGAAACCCCATCTCTACTAAAAATACAAAAAATTGGCCAGGTGTGGTGGCACATGCCTGTTGTCCCAGCTACTTGGGAGGCTGACGCAGGAGAATTGCTTGAACACAGGAGGCAGAGGTTGCGGTGAGCTGAGATCACACAACTACACTCCAGCCTGGGCAACAGAGCAAGACTCCATCTCAGAAAAAAAAACACAAAACAAACAAACAAAAGACAGTGACAACATGCGTTTTGCTCATGAATCTACAATCTGCAGGGATCCCTCATCTCTGCTCCACGCTGTCCAAGGCTTCAGGTAGAATCACTGAAGGCACATTTGCTCTCCTGTTTGATGCTGGTCCTGGGAAGGCCTCTGTTCCTCTTCCTGTCGTCTGTCTGCATGGGCTACGTTGGGCTCCCAAGGAGCTTAGAAGATGGGTTCCAAAGGCACGTGTCCTGAGAGGGAGCCAGGCAGAAGCCACGTCGCCGCGTGTGACCCGCCTCATAAGCCATGCAGGGTCACTCTCAGCACATTCCATTTGCGGATGCCACTGCAAAGTCTTTATCCGGTTCAAAGAAAGGGGCAACGGACTCTGCCTTTTCATGGGAGAGTACAGGGTTCTGGAGGAGCACGTGGGACAGCAAATACTGCTGGGATCATCGGTGGGAAACGCAAGCTGCTCCAGCAGGCTCGGAACTTGGTAGACGCGCTGACTCTCAGACCCAGGGCAGGCCAGCCAAAGCAGAGCCTGAGCATGAGAAGAGTTGCAGCTGCTTCCTTTGCAAATTAGGTTTGAGGAGCACGGTTCTAAATCACTAATTGGACGCTGTGTTGAGCAGGTGGAGCAGGGAACCAGTAGTTACTTTTAGAGAGCTCTCTCTGGCTGCGTGTGGAGGTTGGATTAGAGGGCTCAAGAGTGGTGTTCCAGTAGAAAGAACCAAAAAAAAAAAAAGATGAATTGAACATTACCAAAATTTCAAGGCTGTGTGCATAAAAAAACACTGTTGAAAATAGATGGCCAGGCCAGGAGTGGTGGCTCACGCCTGTAATCCCGGCACTTTGGGAGGCTGAGGCTGGCAGATGGCTAGGCCAGGAGTTTGAGACCAGCCTGATCAACAGGGCGAAACCCTGTCTCTGCTAATACAAAAATTAGTGGGGTGTGGTGGGGCTCACCTATAATCCCAGCTAACTCACGAGGCTGAGGCAGGAGAATCACTTGAACCTGGGAGGTGGAGGATACAGCTACAGTGAGCGGAGATCGCACCACTGCACTCCAGAGAGATTCCATCTCAAAAAAAAAAAAAAAAAGAAAGAAAGAAAATAGATGGCCAGGCGACCAAGGCTGACAGATCGCTTTGAGCCAAGAAGTTTGAGACCAGCCTGGGCAACATGGCAAAACCCCGGCTCTACTAAAATATACAAAATTAGCTGAGTGTGGTGGCATGTGCCTGTAACCTCAGCTACTCCGGAGGCTGAAGTGGGAGGACTGCCCAGGAGGCCAAGTCTGCAGGGAGCCCAGATCGCACCACTGCACTCCAGCCTGGGCGACACAGAGAGGCTCTATCTCAACTTAAAAAATAATAAAAAAGAAAAAAGACAACCTACGTAATAGGAGAAAATAGTTGCAATAATATATATCTAACAAGACTCTAGTATCTCAAATATATGAGTAACTTTTACAACTCATCCATATAAAGACAAATATTAATAGTTCAGTTACAAAATGTGCAAATAACTTGAATAGATATTTCCCCAAAGAAGATAAGTCATTAAGCCAGCAAGCACGTGAAAAGATGCTCAACATTTGCCTTAGTGAGGGTTCTCCGGGAAAACAGAATAAATTATATCTCTCTATATAAAATTATACATAAAACAATAAATTACATACCTAAATTATATGTATAATTATATAGGCATATATATAATTATACATATGATTAAAGTATTTGTATCATTTAGGTACATCATTTATTATATATATAAATTTAATAAATAATATATATAATACATATATCATAATGTATAATACATATAATACTATATATAATAGATATATAATATTTATAATAAATTATATATATATATCCAAATTATACATATATATAAAAAAGAGTAAATTATATATATACCCAAATTATATATATGTATTAGAAAAGAAACGAGCGAATTTGCTTCTGTTCGGACATCCGTCTTCTCCCGATCTCAGGTATTTGCACTCCTGGTTATGAAGCCTTCAAACTTGGACCGAATACACCACAGGCTTTCCTGATTTCCAGCTTGCAAATGGCAGATCCTGGCACTTCAGCTTCCATAATTACCCGATCCAATTTATATACATACCTAATTTGGGTTCTCTAGAAAAACAGAGTAAATTATATATATACCCAAATTATATATATGTATTATATATATATATATAATTATACATATATATATACCCAATTATATATATATATATATCCAAATTATATATATGTATTATATATATATATTATACATATATATGTATTATATATATATATAATTATACATATATATATACCCAATTATATATATATATCCAAATTATATATATGTATTATATATATAATTATACATATATATATACCCAATTATATATATATATATCCAAATTATATATATGTATTATATATATATAATTATACATATAATACATATATATAATTTGGGTATATATATAATTTACTCTGTTTTTCTAGAGAACCCAAATTAGGTATGTATATAAATTGGATCGGGTAATTATGGAAGCTGAAGTGCCATTTGCAAGCTGGAAATCAGGAAAGCCTGTGGTGTATTCGGTCCAAGTTTGAAGGCTTCATAACCAGGAGTGCAAATACCTGAGATCGGGAGAAGACGGATGTCCGAACAGAAGCAAATTCGCTCGTTTCTTTTCTTTGTTTTGAGACACAGTTTCGCTCTGTTGCCCAGGCTGGAGTGCAGTGGCGCGATCTGAGCTCACTGCAGCCTCTGCCTCCCGGGTCGAAGCGATTCTCCTGCCTTAGCCTTCCTAGTAGCCGGGATTACAGGCGTGTGCCACATTGGCTAATTTTTTTTTGTATTTTTTCTAGTAGAAAGGAGGTTTCACCATCTTCTCCAGGCTGGTCTCAAACTCCTGGCCTCAAGTGATCCACCCGCCTCCGCCTCCCAAATTACTGGAATTACTGGCATGAGCCACTGCGCCCGGTCAGCTCACGGTGGGGCTTCTTTGTGCGTCTATTGGGCTCCCACCTGCTGTTATGCCATGTGTCCACCAGGCGGCGCCAACACACACCGCTGTAGCCCCTCCAGGCAAGTTAGAGACTGGACAGAGAGGGGCGGGACCAGACGGTGAGGTCCTTTGAAGAAGCAGGTCCTTAGAGAGGGCGTGGTTGAGACAGGCTATTCCCACACGGGGGTCTCCTGCGGGCGGAGAAACTCCAAATTCTGGGGAGCAGGAGACAGGTAGTGTTATGGGCTGAATAATCACTGCTAAAGAAACACATGTCACAATCCCTGGAACCTGCGAATGGTAACTTATGGCAAAAGGACTTTGCAGACGGGATGAAGTTAAGAATCTTGAGATGGGGAGATTCTCCTGGGTTATGTGGGTGGCCCTCAATGGAATCCCAAGTGTGCTTGCAAGAGAGAGACTGAGTTCTAAACACAGAGGAGGAAGTGAGGTGGTGGGAACAGAAGCACGAGGGTGCGTGATGTCAGAAAGGGGCTGGAGCAAGGGATGCGGCAGCCTCTAGAAGGGGAAGAAGCAGCACAGATGCTCCCCGAGGCCTCCAGCTCAGCGCAGCCCTGCCAGCACCTCGAGCTGACACGCCTGACTCAAAAGCCATAAGGACATCAATTTATGTGAATTTAAGTGACAAGTTTGGGGCCACTTGTAGCGACAACTATGAGAAACTCCTACAGGCAGAAACAAGGCACAGAGGCAATGGTAATTCTTTCTTTTTTTCTTTCCTTCTTTCTTTCTTTCTTTCTTTTTTTTCTTTCTTTCATTCTTTCTTCCCCTTTCTCCTTCTTTCTTTCTTTTTTTCTTTCTTTCCTTCTTTCTTCTTTCTTTTTTGTTTTTTGTTTTTTTTTTTTTTAGAAGGAGTCTTACTCTGTCACCCAGGCAGGAGTACAATGGCGGAATCTCGGCTCACTGCAACCTCCGCCTCCCGGGCTCAAGCAATTCTCCTGCCTCAGCCTCTCCAGTAGCTGGGATTACAAGTGTGCACCAACACACCCAGCTAATTTTTGTATTTTTAGTAGAGATGGAGTTTCACTGTGTTGGTCAGCCTGGTCTTGAACTCCTGACCTCATGATCCATCCACCTTGGCTTCCCAAAGTGCTGGTATTACAGGCACGAGGCATCGTGCCTGGCAATTTTTTCTATTGAATATAACTTAAGCTAAAATGAAAATATCAGCAATAGATCTGATGAGACTGTGGGACAGCTGGAGCAGTCAGACAGCTGCTGGGAGTGTGCACTGGTACAAGCGCTTTGGAAAACCCCGTGTGTGACGCTGAACATACAGCACCTAGAAGCCAGTAGTTCCCCACCCAGCATATACTAAAGAGAAACGTGCAGGCGTTCACCAAAGACACCTACTAGAACAGTCACAGTGAGTGGCCCAATCTTAATAGCTTCAAACAGGAGGTTACCCACATGCCCATCAGCAGGAGAATGATGGTGTTCCCACCCTTTCTGTTGAGAGTGGGGTATGTGTGCCAGCCCCCTGAGTATGGGTGGGCTTGTGACTTCTAACACTAATAGTTGTGGGGAAAGTGACCCGAGGTGACATCTAAGACTGAATCATACAAAGTATGAGCTTTGGCTGGGCCCGGTGGCTCACGCCTGCAATCTCAGCACTTTGGGAGGTCAAGGCAGGTGGATCGCTTCACCCCAGGAGTTTGAGACCAGCCTAGGCCACGTGGCCAAACCTCATCTCTACAAAAATATGCAAAAAATTCAGCCAGGCTTGGTGGTGTGTGAGCCTGTAGTACCAGATACTCAGGAGGCTGAGGAGGGAGGATCACTGGAACCTGGGAGGTGGAGGTGCAGTGCTGGCATCTCTGCACTCCGACAGGGGTGGCAGAGTGAGGCCATCTCAAAAAAAAAAAAAAAAAAAAGAAAAGAAAAGAAAAAGAAAACCAGCCAGGCATGGTGGTTCACGCCTGTAATCCCCGCACTGTGGAGGCTAAGGTAAGCGACTCACCTGAGGTCAGGAGTTTGAGACCAGCCTGGCCAACATGGTGAAACCCCGTCTCTACTAAAAATACAAAAATTAGCTAGGCGTGGTGGCATGTGCCTGTAGTCCCAGCTACTTGGGAGGCTGAGGCAGGAGAATCGCTTGATCTCGGCATTGAGCCAAGATCATGCCGCTGCACTCCAGCCTGGGTGACAAGAATGAGACTTTCTCTCAAAAAAAGAAAAAAAAGGACCAGGACCTTGACACTGTTGAGGTCTGGTCAGATGTTTTGCAGAGTGCCCCTCAATTTGGGTTTATCTCACATGTTTCCTTGGGGTGTTTCCGGTTATGCATTTTGGGCAATATCAGCACAGAAGTGATGTGTCCTTCTCATGAAGTCCCAGCCAGAGGCCCAGGTGTCCATATCTCTCGTTACTGATGAGGTTCACTTTAAGCACTTGGTTCAGGTGCGTCTGCCGGGTTTCTCTACTGTGAAGTTACCATTTGTCCCATTGTAATTAATATGTATCTTGTGGAGAGATACTTTGCGAATATGCAGGTAGCCTGTTTGTACCTGCCACACTTCCCCGCGCTCCGTGGTACTTACTAGTTAACGCAGCACCATACTCTTACCCACTAATTTTTAGGATGGTTCTCGATTCTTGCCTATAAAAAATTACCACTGTGGTGTTAGCCAAATAGTAATTTTTTAAAAATTCCATCCTTCCTTCTACATTGATTAAGTGGAGGTCTGCTATAAGAAAGAGCTATTTCGGCCAGGCGCGGTGGCTCACGCCTGTAATCCCAGCACTTTGGGAGGCTGAGGCGGGTGGATCACAAGGTCAAGAGATCGAGACCATCCTGGTCAACATGGTGAAACCCCGTCTCTACTAAAAATACAAAAATTAGCTGGGCATGGTGGCGCGTGCCTGTAATCCCAGCTACTCAGGAGGCTGAGGCAGGAGAATTGCCTGAACCCAGGAGGCGGAGGTTGCGGTGAGCCGAGATCGCACCATTGCACTCCAGCCTGGGTAACGAGAGCGAAACTCCCGTCTCAAAAAAAAAAAAAAAAAAGAGAAAGAAAGAGCTATTTCTTCTTCATTATTTATTTTATTTCTTTGTTCAAATTTTTATGTCAGCATGGACTCGTGGATATTTATAGGTTGGAATCCATTGCTATCATTATTTATTATGTTGCTCATGTTGTCCCCAAATTGATAATTTTTAAATTTTATTTTATTGCATTTTAGGTTTTGGGGTACATGTGAAGAACATGGAAGATTGTTGCACAGATACACACATGGCAATGTGGTTTGCTGCCTTCCTCCCCATCACCTATATCTAGCATTTCTCCCCATGTTATCCCTCCCCAACTCCCTCCAAAATGGACAATTCTAAGCTCCTCGTTGACATTTGTCATCTTTTGACACATTCCCATCATTTTTCCAGTAGATGCTTACTTTCTGTCCTCACAAAAAACTCCAGGTTCTTTTTGTGCTTTCTTGCCCCAGCCGTGGATCAGCTATTTCTCCAGGGAACCCTGGTTCCTTTCAGGAGAGAATGGTGTTTGCAAAGCATGGGCACTGATACGCCCAAGGCTGGTCTCGAACTCCTGGCTTCAAATGCTCCTCCTGTTTCAGCCTCCCAAAAAGTGCTGGGATTACAAGCTTGAGCCACCAAAAGTGGCTGAGAGGAGTATTTATTCATCTTAAGATGATAAAACTGAGGTTCAAAAAAGTAAAGCAACTTGTCCAGGGTTGCAAAGTGAGTGGCAGAGCCAAAATTTGGATCTAGGTCCCCCTGAAGTCCGGGCTGAGGGTAAATGTCTAGGTGAATCCAAATGTGTATCCAGGTGAAGAACTATTACTGTAGAACGAGGGTTGTCAGTTGGGGGTGGCTTCCCCCAAGGAGACAGTTGGCCATTCGGGAGACAGTTTTGGCTTCCATAACAGGGGTTTGGATGGGGGAGAGGGAAGGCTGGTATTGGTGTCAAGGGGAGAGAGGCCACGCAGATGAGCTGAACATCTCACAATGCACAGAATAGCCCCCACCTCAAGGAACTGTTCAGCCCAAATGCCAGTAGAGCTGCTGTGAAGCCCTGGTCTGACTTAGAAACCTGAGGATGCATCTTGCACTTAGCTAATGTTTGCTGAGTGCTGAACTGGACAGCGTGAGGGATATGGAAACAGGGCACCGGTCTGTGCCAACAAGGAGGCTGCAGCCTAGAAGGGGAGCAGGTGGAGGCAGGAGAGGCACATGAAGGCCTTCCACATAAGGCAGCAGATGATCAGTGCAAGAAGAGAGCATCCGGTAGGGCTAAGCCAGCTCTTAGGAGGAAGAGTGCACCTCTGACTATGGGAGGAACTGAGGGAAGCTGTGGGAAGGTGGTTTTGTGCTGGGTGTGTAAACAAAGTTGAGCTGGTGGGAAAACACAAGCCCTGTTCAGGGAAGGGCAGACAGGCTAGTTTGGGTGGAGAGAGAGTATTTTTTTAGTGAGTGGAGGGGGACATGCTGGAAAAGCAGGTTAGGGTTAGAGGCGGAGAACTTTAGCCTGGGTGTCTGTCATAGAGGTGGAAAAGCCTTTCCTCTCAGAATGGTGGTCTAGGCCATAGGCTATGGGGCTCAGCAGCTTCCCCAGCACTGTCGCTACAAAGGAGGGGACGTTGGAAATTGTGGTGTAGAAGGGTAACCGTCTCCTGATTTTAGGGCCAGTTTCATGCTGTGTATGTAACAAAGCCACTTCACCTCAAACTGGCCCTTGGGGAGATGGTGCTCCCAAGTGGAAATATACATCGGGTCAGCTCTCTTCTACGTGGTTGCTGTCTGAAGGGCTGGGCCACTTTATAGTGAAAACCCAGAGCAAACTTGACACCCCAAAGCAAAAGCCTGCTACCAAAAAGGTGAGTGTCACAGCAGGGCTTGCTGTGGATAAAGCTGCGAAATGGACACTACCTGGTGACAGGCTTTTTCTGGTTTATTACATTACCATTAATAGCATTAAGACATGTTGGTGGCATGTCCGGTGCAACGTAAGGAACGTAAGCAATGACTTCCTGATCTTCTATAAAGGTTCCATTGCCTTCAACACCCTCTCACCACTGCCACCATGTTTGGCCCCAGAGAAATGTGTTACTCTCTGGAAAAGGGGTTAGAGGAGAAGGCAAGAGAGCAAATCCTTGTTGAGCTAGTGTGTGTGTGTGTATTTGCCAGCTACAGTTGTGGACACTTTCCCATGCAGTATCTTATTTAACTCTCTTAACAGCGTTTGCATGTAAGTACAGTTTTCTTCCTTCAGTAAAGGAGGAAGCTGGCACTGGGAAAGGCTAGCTTGCCCTAAACCCCTATAGCAGAAAGAGGCTACATTTCGACGTATGTGTGGCCCACTTAGCCGCATTTTCTCCTCCCCTTTCCCTTTTATTGGCAATTAATCTTATTCACCTGGACTTGGGCTGCTACAGACTATGGACATCAGCAATAGTGGCAGCAACAGAAGGAGGGACGAGATTAGAATGTTCACTGCGATTGTTGGCGCAGCTGTCAGTCACTTGAAGAGTGTATGGAAGGTTCCTGGTTGGAAGCTCCTGATCTCTGGGGATGGCTCCGGCCAGGGTACTCGGCCTGGTGGTCTGCACTTTAGCCCCAGCTCAGTGTTTCCATCTGAGGACAAGAACAGGTGAGGTGATGCTGGCCTTTCTGTTAAGTAACAGATCAGACGACGTGCTTTCCAGAAATGTGGCAGATAAAATTCTTTAAACAACAACAA